TGCCTTCAGTTTTCAATAAATCCCCAACAGTGTCACCAGCAAAGCCCCCCCACACCACCACTTATGTAGGTGTAGGTTCCACCTTCGCCATCTCAAAAGCGCTTGCTGATCTGCTGTAATAGATAAGCCGGTAAAACATCTAAAAGCACAGGATGGCTACAGTTTAAGAAAGAAGGTATGCTGCATATAAATCTGTGCCATATTTCAGCTGTGTACTATTGAACTTACTGTTCAAATTTAGTTTTACCAAAACAGCTTTGACAACATGTTAACAAGTATGAATCATAGTGTGGGATATGTTTTACATGAATACAGTAAAATTCAGGTGGTATCGACAATACTGATCCGATACCGATACTCTGTACAAAAACTTAATATTTCAATGTATTTCATAATACAATATACAATTGTATTATGTAATTGTAATAATAATATAGCTTCATAATCATTACAGGACATCAGACTACTTGTTCTCATTGCTTAATAATGCAGTAAAATCATATAGAAATAAAAAACCTGAAGTTGTGCGCTGTTTGAGCATGTGACCTGCCTGCAGCACTGAATCTCTAAAAGTTGATTCTGTTCAACAGAAATTTACAAATCAAATTTACTTTCCTGGATGATTGAGAATGCATCAACACCTGCAGCACTAAAGGACGAGAGACGTCTGTCTCGCCTTAGCAGCACCTGTCCCTGTCCTCCTCTTCAGTTCGCCTCAACATACGCTCGTCATATTCTGAGATATGATTTACTCTGAGGTGTTTGATGAGGTCAGTGGTGTTGCCACAACACCTCACTGTCTTTCCACATGTATCGCAAACCACATCTGGGCTGTTTGTGGAGGTAAAATATGACCGCACATGACTCTGTTTACGCTCAGCCATTGTTGTGAGTGCGCACGCCAGGGGCTGCGACACGTTTATGACTATGAAAGGCGTAAGAGGAAGTAGTTCCTTCCAATTTAGACGATCCCAATGGTATCGTTTCTTTCCACTACAAATTTACCCCAAAGTACTAAAATATCGATATTTTAATGTGAGAATCGACTCTAGAACATAAATTACTGGAACTGATATTTCAATATCGATCCGCACACCACTACTGGAACCTGTGGAGTATTTTTCCTGGTGACTGTACGGAGTTTTGTTTCCTCAGCAGGATTTTTGTCTCCCTTTTTCTCCGGATCGCCTCGTTTGGTTTGTTTCCTTTTCGGAGGTTTTTGGCAAACAGTACCAAGTTCTCCAACTCT